AGGAAATATTCCAGGGATTATGAGTTGTAATCGGATGCTTTCTTGCCTTGGAGTAGATCTAGTGTTCTGTAAATTTTTGCATCGACTTGGACAATACTCTAGATACGGTACAAAATTCCAATCTATTCCACACGAGGTCTTGCAGAGGTGTTACTGGATATAGCAGTTTCGTCCCTGTAGTTCTTCAGTTTTTGTTTGTATTTTCAAATTCCGAAATACATATATACTATAATTCTGTAGAACTCTATAGAATCTGAATTTCATGGAACTCTTCCAAATTTTATTTCAGAATGGTGACAGTGCGAACATCAACAATATAGTTAAAACTTCTCAGTACCCTTTACTTGTTCAAATAAAGATATTTTATTGTTTTCCACAACAGGTTGGCGCCTATGAAGTTTTCTCCAATTCTGGTTACAGCATGTGATATAAAATGGTACATTACATGTTTAACATAGGGGTTATGTTGGACAGTTGATATATATTTTACTTATCAACAGTTTCAATAATTTTTGGAATAACATTTATTGAATTAATTGAATGTTGAAGAACTGTTACCCTAGCTCAATGATAAACAAACGATATACTTACACACATACATGTCAGTACTTGCCTAAAGTACATTGATAGGTTAACCTGGATTAACAACAGCAGGTAATTATGTTGATGAAATTAAAAAATGTTGTAAAATATAAAAATAAGTCTAGACTTGCTAAAGTAACAACTACATTAGCCTTTTAGTAATAAGGATGTACATAGCAACCATTTACCTTAAATGAATATCTATCGGCTATTCAATACTTTGTTCTTCTACAGCTGTTTGCAACACTAAACAAAGTCACAGAATATCAACAAAGCAAGGTGTATAATTCAAATTTGGTATACCTGATATACATTGTAATAACTAATATATATATGAAATTATATTCCACAGATAGGTCACAGAAGAGGGACACATCTAGGATTAAAGTTTCTCTTATTCGCACAGTATACAATGATGGCTCAATGATCGGCTTATGCTAGTTACCCCATACAAGCCTACTACAAATTGAAATACAGTTCAATTTCACATATTTCTTTATCGTAGTCATTTATTTAATCAACTTTATTTATTTGCAAGTCAAATGATATCTTATTAAATAAGTTAACGTATGGGGTGGGTAACCTTTTCCAAATATATATATAATTAAAGTAGGTAACGTATGGGGTGGTAACCTTTTCCAAATGTATATATAATCAAAGTAGGTAACGTATGGGGTGGGTAACCTTTTCCAATATTGCTTTAACTTAAACTATGGTATGCAGATTGTTTCTAGGCTACTCATTTCTTTGTCCCAACCTTCTGTGTATCGCTGTGCATCTTCCGCAAGATCCTTTATTCATCTTTTCTGTAGGTAGTGAAACTTTAGACTTACTTTATTATGTCTATGTGGATGTACCATGATGAAGATAATTCAAGTAGATGTTGGTGATTTCAGATATATTGCACTTGCCTTGAATAAGACCATAAACAATGTCTTACAAGAATATTTGCTATCATTATTTCAGACTAAAATACTCCCTTGTACATTACACTTGATACAATAGCGAGCGCAGCGAGCGCTTTTTGTATCGTACGCGTGCTGTATATATATAGTTCAAGTAAAAAGCTATATATAGTAACACAAAACTAAACTACAATACTATGCGATCTTTTTTCTTTACATCGTGCAGACCGGACTTTAAAATTTGCGACGCTCTGATTGGTTATCAATAGATCAGAGGCTAAACAATCACCGTTTTAAACATCTCTGTGGGAATAGAAAATATGTTTCACATCGTAACTTATTTGCGTGAACTTTGCAAACCTATTCGTTATGATTTGAAATGTTTCTTCTTTAAAACGTGTTTAAAAATTATAGTTTTAGACGTTTTAGACGAATCGGGTTAAGCAATAAAAATATTTGCGGTTTGAAAGTTGCGGGCTTCAAAATTTGCCACATTCTGATTGGTTGAAAAGACCGGAACAGATCAAATTCGCCGGGAATAGGAACTAGGGAGGGTAAAGGCCTATCCGATATCAAATGATCGACAAGAAAAATAACACTTCAGTGTCAATCATCTTTTGAGTTCTTTCTGATGAAATCATTATGTCTTGTACTCAAGCAGAATAAGTTTATTGAGCAAGTTTATTGGCTGCAAATGGTAAATATTAGCAGAGCAAGCCTTAATTTCAACTGTGTCGCATTGTATGTACAGTAATAGCTTCTAGCTTCATTAATTAAACATCCATGTTAGAAGATTTCCTACACTGTAAATATTTTTGAGAAATCTTGTCTTAGAAATGTAGGATATATATATATTAAATTATAATTTCCCTATTTTGGGAAAGGGTCCCTGTAGCAGGAATTCGGAAAATATCATTGGCATAATTTGGCAAAAATTGGGAAATTTCATCAGTGTCCCCACGTTCAGGGAAATTTTTAATTTTGATAGAATAAAACCTACAATGTGATTTGCAAAAAAAAAAAAAAAACATCTACCTATTTCTTACAGTAAAATGTATAGCAATTAATAAACATCAATTTTCAGTGTTTTTGTTGATTCAATTTCAAATTCTTGTTATTTTTGTACATTTTTTTTATATTTCGAATGCTCCTTTATGGACGGTTATAGTTTGAACATTGTACATATGATATAATGACTGGAAACTTGTATGAACATGCTTTTAAATCCAACTGGGAAAATAAAGACTGAAATTGGAAAAATACAGGGTCATATTCAAAATAATGTAATGGATCAATGTAACAGACCCTACATGTATAAACACTTGGCAAAAACTCTGATTACGAAACTTATTTTTGCACCTGTGCCAATGTGGTCTCATTTGATGACTAAATACTGGTATATGAAATAAAAATTAAATATATTGTATGAGAGTTCTTATTATGGGAATTAAAGCGTTTTCCCCTGTCAACTATACGTAAATGTAGAGATTCAACTGTGGTGAATCTTGATTACTTGTCAGGAATAACCTTATGTACAGATTTGAATTGCATTTTATGTACCAGTATATGACAGACAGACAGACTTTCTTTATTTCCTCCTTGTAGAGATTGTACATTGATCATGCCTTATCTTGTGCTTACATCAAATGTAGAATATACATTGTATACATAATCATAGTAAAGCGTTCATCTCTGAGATCATAACAGGTATCAGATCGGCAATATTCATCATCAGTAGGGCCCACCTGTCACGATTCAGTTGAATATCGTTTGAACTTTCGAGTATAAATTGACACTGTCTTTCATCTGGCAGGTGATCAAATTTAACATAATCTGATACGTCTAAGATATTGACTAAAAGGTCTAAAAGTGTATCGCGACTCAGGATCTTCTTATTTTACTGGTATAAATCTTAGAATAAAAAACTCTGGATCATTTTTTGCACGTTGCTTGTTTGTTTGTTTGTTTGTTTGATTTTGTTTAACGTCCTATTAACAGCTAAGGGCATTTAAGGACGGCCTCCCCTGTGTGCAAGATGCATGCGTGTAGTGTATGTGTGTCTATTTTGGGAGGCTGCGATATGTTCGTGTTTGTTTTCTTGTAATAGCGCGGAACTGATGCCGACTTTATAGTGCTACCTCACTGAAACATACTGCCGAAAACACCCAGCAGGACGCCCCACCGGGTCACATTATACTGACAACGGGCGAACCAGTCGTCCCACTCCTAATTTGCTGAGCGTTAAGAAGGAGTAGAAACTGCCATTTTTAAAGACTTTGGTATGTCTCGGCTAGGGGACAGAACCCAAAGCCTTCCTCACAGGGGCGAACGCTCAACAAATGGCAAAAGTGCAAATTGTATACATATATAGTTCTGAGCCTACCATAAATTTGGTTAATACCGGTGTAAAGGGAGAGGAAAAATCCCCGGCCAGACCGGGGTTCGAACCCGGGACCTTCCGAACTCTAGTTGGACACTACCAATTGAGCTATCTGTTCGCCGATAATCTACCCAGTCCAGTTCCGCTACATTGATATATCAATTTCCAAATTGATAAGAAAAGCAGAGGAGAATGTAAATATAAGTGCAATGGCAAAAACATGTAGGGAAAAAAAAGAGACAAAAATGGGAATAAAACTTAAAAGAAAAGGTCAGTTGTGCTAAAGATATTTCTATAGTGTAGTGGTAATCACACTTGTCACTCTGTGGTGAGAGACCCAGGTTCAAATCCTGGTGGAAATGATAGCACAACTTGAAATTATGTAAACAACTTATTATATAGAACTCCTCCATACAATTCTCATTACTTGGTACATTTTATATTTCATATGTATCCTTCTTAATTCGTTCTTTTCTGCATTCATATATACAACAACAGGATATTCGAACATCTTGGTAGGCAGTGAGTATAACATTTATGATTTGTTAACTTCAATTAGATTTTGTTTTTAATTATCAAAGTCTTGGTGTCGGCCTCTTGTGATTAACTTTTGTCCATCATGGTTACCACATCAATTAAATTTTGAAGGAAAGTTCCAAGGTCAAATGCAAGCCAAATTAAAGAATTACATATAGATCATGTATTCCTCCTTGAGAAGGTGTTAATGTTTAGGCTAAAACAAACAAAAATGTGTTTCAGGCAACATTCCAGAGAAAAATAGAGTACATAGAGTTTAAAGCAGATAAACATTTATTTTATTTTTCATTTTCATGCATCAATATATATACTTACAGGGAAATAACAAATATAAGAACTAGAAATATGTCAAAATGACATGAAAGTCACCCCATCTCCTGTATGATTACTCAGTATAATAAATCATTGACCAAGCTACAACCGACATATTTCCACCTGTCAATCAAAATGGTCTAACAATGACCAGGTATGCATACACGCTGTTTAGGTAACCATGCCAACCTACTAGGATATAATAGGAAAGCATGTGGTTAATTAACTTGAAGAAAATGTTACATGTTTTATGACCATAAAACACAAACACTGCAAATAATTTCATTTTTTTTTAATTTCTGTGACATTCCCTGGCCTTCTTCATCCGAATTTCAAGGCCTTCCACATTCAAACATGCCAAAGTGCCAGGATAAGATAGTTCATCTGTTAAAATGAAAAAAAAATGATATAAGAGAACTGAACATGCATATTGGAGCAAATCTTTTTCACCAAAACTAAAGGCTGATAATTAAGGAATTTCCAATCCCTATCACTAGTTTGTACTGGTATGTTTTTCGTGGTTATTTAACTCCCTATTATCAGTTGATACTTCTCAGTAAAAATTATTTGTTTGTAAAACTGTCAATATCGTCTAGTCATTGGTTTCCGCCCGTTATATATTTCCGCGCAGCCATTTTATCAAGCTTTATCTTGTTACTATGTGACCTGCTGGACACAACACAAAGATATTTTAGACGTTTGACACAAAAATTACCGGAACTTCGTCCAGAAAACATAAGAATTAATCACAGATTAAACAAGTCCACTGACATGAAGTTTTGAAATTAAACCCACTAATTGTAATGACTTACAGTGTATTTCAGCAGCTGTCCCTCCTTCCATTTTTTGTGTATTCTGGAAATGATAAAATATCAGCTATCTTACAATGCTTAATTGGGATATTTAGTGCGATCATGGTTTATTAAAGCATGTATAGACTATAGGGGTGCAATTACAATGTATCGGAAAACCAGTATATCGCAATACACAGGCCATATCGTACATGTATCTATCACAATGCGAATCGCAACAGTCGAATAGATATGCCAATAACCATAATCCAGGCTATTACTAGCATACAATTCAATACAAATGTATCACACAAATGATCTCAGATTTAATGACAGCATTTTGACACTTATTAAGCCCAATTATCAGAAAAAAATACCATTTTTTCCTATGAAATTACATTGCGACAGTATCGCAATATTTTCCTTCTGTATTGCAATATATTCTGGTAAGCTCAACCCACATGGGCTTGTATAGACTTATATGATAAAATTAGCTAGAAATACCTATATATATATACATATTTCTAGCTAATATGTATCATATTAGTCCATACAAGTCCCTGTGCTCAACCTGTATTGTTACACCTACGGTACCGAAACTAAAGAGAAATGTTTTATGTTACAGATATAACCATCAGTGATCTTGGGAAATATTAAGAAAGGAGCAATGATTTGCAGAAAGAGCTGCAAATACCGCAATACCCTCAATTTTGTTTACATCCCTAAATTAGACTTTGACTTTAAACATATTTTATTAACCAGAATTGGAAAATAAGATTTGGCATAAGTTATTACAACTTATGAAGCAATCTCCACGAAATTAGACTGGATCTTTGTTGGTTGATTTCATAGAAAAGAAATATATACATGCACAACAGTGCTGTTAAAAACATCTGTCCTTACGGTTTGACAGGACACTAACAGGAATATAATTTTGCAATAGCGATACACATAAATATGACAATGCCGTGTTTTGCCGGTACAGTATCGCAACGTGGTGACCACGTGGAACTGTACCGGCAAAACATGTTATTGTTTACATCCCTAAATTAGACTGGATCTTTGTTGGTTGATTTCATAGAAAAGAAATACATACATGCACAACAGTGCTGTTAAACACATTTGTCCTTACGTTTTGACAGGACACTGACAGGAATATTATTGGCAATAGCGATATACATAAATAATATAAAATATGACCACGGTACAGTATCGCCACGTGCACGTGGAACTGTACCGGCAAAACATGGTATTGTTTTGTCGGTACCTCGTGGTCACCATGGCACTGCCACCACCGCAAAAACGATAACTTTCAGTAAACGGTGTCGAGCGCTTTTAATATATAAATTCAGAATATGGCAATGAACTACTTACCTTACATTACCCTGTATTCTTCCGGTTTTCCATTTTCTGCCGTAAAGTGTTATGTCGTAAAGTGTTCCAAAGTTGTAAACGTTGTCATGCGGTATATGAACGTGGATGAAATATTTGTTTGAATGATCGCGCATTTATTTATAACATATCACCCTTTGAAATTATAATGTTACGGCTGAAAATGGTATGTAAATTAAAAAAATAAAGCAATTTCCATAAATGTCGTAAACTTTTTTCTTTGGACGAACTTGATTCAGGCGTGCCGGTTACCGCCGGGAAGGCGGCACCTACCTACTGATTACGTATGTCCCCTAAGTCCCGCATGTTCGGCACCTGCCGTTCGATTAGAAGTTTTGCCGGACTGCAGAGAAATGCAAAGCCATACAAAATGTTATTTGCGTCCGCCAAATTGCGCATATGCGTGAATGTAGTGTGCCGGCGGCAAGCACAAACCCGACATGTCAAATTAAGTTTGCCCTTTTGCTAGGGGACGTTTTCTTTTGTCACTGCGTGAATAGATGATAAAATAAAAGAGGCGTTATTGAGCTTTTCTACCTGAGCTTTTTATTGCAAAATTTATATTGGTTATAAAGAAATTTTACCAATATAGTCGTTTGTCAGACATTAAAATCTCAATCAATCAATAGCAATATATAATAGAACAGTCTACCCCTTCGGGAACCTCAAAGGTGACTGATTCATATTGGGAACATCTCAGTTTGAAATTCGGAACGCCTTTTGGTTGTATGTTAGATCTATTCCTAAATCGATATCTGAGTTATCCAAAAGCTTGTTATTAGCGACAGAAGCAAACACACGAAAGCTGTAAATAGAAGAGGTCAAAATCTGGGACTGAAACCAAAATTAATAGTCCCCACTGGGGTTCCCCCAGGGGTGACCAAAAATTAATTTCTATGCATTTCAGTGTTTATTATTCTGTCAAGAATTTGGTCAGGAGCCCATGACCATAACAGGAAGAAAGTGACTGTGAGCTTTGCCTGACTATAAAAATGTCCACAGGAAAATTTAAGACAGGTCATGATCAGGTTATCCGAAGCGTTTGTAATCTTGTTTTTGGCCTTACTGTAGTTTATATGGGGAAATAACTCTTTTGAGTATATGTTGTTTACTTTCAGTAGGAAAAAATTTAAACTCGGTTGTAATGATTATCATGTGACTGCATTTTGATGGTATGAAAATTAAGAACCAGGCCCACCCCTAGAGCCTGAGGGGAGGGGCCAAAGAGGTCAAATTGGCTGAAATTTCAACAATCTTCTTCAGATCCAGATCCACTTTATCATTGAAGTGGTTGAAATCAGTGTCCTATAATGAAAAACACCTACTGGCAATCTGGAGGCACGGTAGTCTAGTGGTAGAACGCTGGGCTCGTAAACCAAATGGTTACTAGTTCGAGTCACGGCACCACACTGTGTTGTATCTTTGAGCAAGATACTTTACTCCGCTTGTTCCAGTCTACTCAGCTGTAAATGAGTATGTGGTTGGGCAGTACTAGAATTGTAGAGTGCTAGCTGTGAGTGCTGGAATGGCAGCACCGGTTGTATGCTCCCCAGGGAGTTGATCCATGAGAAAGATGTTGGCTAAGGCCCTAAAACCACGGATACAGGGTTCGACACTTATAATAGTCGAGGACTAGTGAATCACCTAATTACCTAACAGGTCCTTTGGATTTGTGAAAAATATAATTATAAAATGCGAATACTCCTTTTTTCAAATTTAGAAAACTGCATAAAATAACATATATTGCATGATTATTCTCAAACTTTTCCTCAAACTTTACCATATGTGTATGGCAGTAGTTACCTGTGGACTGTCCCCTACTTTTGCTGTTTCGTGCTGTAGATCGCGAGGTTTCCTGATCAGGAAATCTGCGACAAGTTACATTGACGAAGTAAATAACCATGCAAAAAAGGGTCAAGCCCTAGGAAAATAATGTGTGAACGGCTTTGAGACGACCTAGGAACTAGGTTGTGATGAAGCGGTATATACATTTGTAAGAACCTCGAATTATTATTATTATTATAGACAACTACCAAAGTTTTCCCCAGGTCTGTTACCACCCAGGAATACACTCATGCTAGCCCCTTCCAGGCGTTATACAGGACTAAGATATACAATATAGTAATAAGTGAACTATATACGGAGCCCCCGAAGGGCCATGGTAAAACATTAACAAACCGTGCGCACGGATTACCAAACCGTGCGCACGAGTTACCAAACCGTGCGCACGGATTACCAAACTGTGCGCACGGATTACCAAACCGTGCGCACGGATTACTAAACCGTGCTCACGAGTTACCAAACCGTGCACACGGATTACCAAACCGTGCACACGGATTACTAAACAGTGCGCACGAGTTACCAAACCGTGCACACGGATTACCAAACCGTGCGTACGGATTACCAAACCCTGCGCACGGATTACCAAACCGTGCGCACGAGATACCAAACCGTGCGCAAGGATTACCAAACCATGCACACGAGTTACTAAACCGTGCGCACGAATTACTTATCTGTTCGCATAAGTTACCAAAAGTTTGCAAGTGTTACTATTTCACATTATTCTATCAAAGAAATGGATGTTGGGGCGGGGATACATCCAATATCGGATCGATTTGTTTTGATGTTCACAATAAGAAGTCAAGTGCAGTGGATATTTCTTAGATAAGAACCAGTAGCTGTTTTGCTTTATGGTAAGATTATGATTCTTGTTTTTCCGTCAGAACATAGTATTGTGTTGTTCACTCAATTTGGTTAACATCTAATCACCCTTACCTCCGCAAGGTGTTGATGTACACGAGCTCAATATATCACGTTATGAAATTGTTGACGTTTTGATATTCCTTCCATATAGTATGCATATTTTCCTAATGTTTCGTATAGTTGAAATAAGATTTTTTAATGTTAACTATGAATTTTAATTAGATAACTTTTGACATGACGACGGAATATTCTGAAATATCTGTTCCGTGCACAGTTATAAACCTGATTTAGAAGACATGAACATGTTAGTTTATACTTACAATACTGATAAATATATGAGATTTGAATGATACATGTAGGTGTCACGCATTGTAGGTACGAATTACCTGTGGTCAGTGTCCACCAGGTAGGCAATTATACTAATCCTGCTTCCTGCTACGTAATGTGACGGACAATGGTAAAAGACTTATTCGAAGAAAGTTTGTATATGTAACTTCTTTAGAGGCTTTAAGATGATAAAAGCTCCACACGTAAGTCTCATCTTAACTTTCATAAATGACATAGATACTGGCAGAGAGAATTCCATCGAAATGTCTTTTAAACTTAATTTTACAAAGTCGTCGTAATATGAATTTGATAATAAATTGTGAGATTAAAACTCTTAAGAATAAGCATGTTAATTTTTACTTTCCAAAGTGTGGAATGATATTTTTCTCCCTCCTAAAATAGATATTGCGGTTGCATGAAACACGGGTGTTAGTTGTATGGTTTTCCAGCAAATCGAATGAGTTACAAATATTTGTCTGTGATGTGCCATTGTTAACGTAACGTAAGTTCATTGATTACATATGCATCCTAATTGGGAAATCCTCTCGTTTTTTCTCTGACCGGCAGTTTACATTTTAAGTCTTTTTAGCCCGGAAATACAATATTGTAGACCTTAGTGGGAAATAGCCTCATGCAGAATAGCACGCTTTTTGTCATGCCATAAAAAGTGAACGGCGATATTCAATGACCATCTGTACGCTAGTTTATATGCATGTCAGTCTACAGTCGATGGAATTGTAACTGAAAGCAAAAGAATGTCCCATCAGAGGTTCTGTCAGATTTAGAAAACCAAGTAATCACTCGAGGGTTGGGCATTTCTGTGTAACCCTGTCACGGCACGATTTCTCACTCCGACACGATTTCTCACCCGGGAAATCGTGCAAAATTGCTGCGTTCGCGACACGATTTCCCAACCCTGCACGACTTCTCACCCGGGTGAGAAATTGTGCAATCTATATTGGTATAGGCGACACGATTTCCCACCTGACACGATTTCTCACCCGACACGACTTCTCACCCTATATCTCAACGTGGAGACGTGAGTCATGGGAGAGCCACGTAGTCCTATAAGTCATAGACTGTCACACAGACGTTTGATAGTCCTGACGAAATTACAAAATGATGACGTCAGAGAAAAGCTATGTCATTGCGTGGGTGGGGCCATGTAGTCATATGAGTCATAGACTATCACACATTTAAACGTTGACGTTTGATAATCCTGACGAAATTACAAACGGAATGATGACGTCAGAGAAAGACCGTGTCATTGCATGGGTGGGGAATCATCGTGAACGGATCATTGGTCTGTGAGATCCGTGTGGTCCCGGTCATTAGATCATCTGGTTCGCATGCAATAAAATGGACCTGTCATTTTTATGAAATATTTGGGACAACATGCACAAACAAATCAATTAAGTTAAATGATAATTAATATGTCTTTATCGAAGAATGTTTTTTGTATTCATTATTTATCTCTATTAGGATTTTAAATCAACTCTAACACTGTAAGTCGAGATATTACTGATCCGCTGTCCCGGCTGTAGCAACCCAATACGTACATGTGTGATTTGAACCTGCTCAACAGACATCCCGTGGTGTGCAATCTGATCGTTATCGTGGTGTAGCGTTGTTGCCTTTCACGCTGTTATTGACCATGTCAGTTTGATTTTCCGCCCCCAACCAGCAATCCTGGCATATGTGTCTTATCAATAGCTCTGACTCTTCGGGTTCGCATGTCATACAATTGACCTGTTCATTTTTAATGAAATATTTTGCACAGCATGTACAAACAAATCAATTAAGTTAAATGATAATAAATATGTCTTATTCGAAGAATTAATTTTTATTCATTAGTTATCTCTGTTAGGGGATCATGACGTCAGAAGGCATGGCCTTATTATGTACACGACGTCGGACACTTGTGGCTCCGCCAAGTCCCGGGCATTGTCCAATCGCGTGCGAAGTCCTTGCGTGGGAGTGGCCCTGTGTAGATACAGAGGGGTTTCTGTGAAGACCACGTGGGAATATGAGTGTTAGGAGACCTATGTTTCATGGTCTGATACGAGAGTTGACGGTTAATATTCTGACGAAATTACAAATCTGCACGGAATGATGACGTCAGAGAAAGGCTATGCCATTTCGTGAGTAGGGAATCATAATAAACGACCGGGTCATTGGTGCGCGAGAGTTTTGTTCCGCCTAGTTCCGATCATCGTGCTATTGTGGGGTTTCGGTGCCGGTCACTTGCAGGCGTAAGCCATACTCGTAGTCCAATCAGATATGACAGTCGACCAGGGTAACGCGAGTCATATGACACGGATTCGACGTGTTGGGTTGGACGATGACGTTTTTATCATACTTATGTCATTGACAACCAAAGGTTTCGGTCTAACAGTCGATTGTGTGGGCGAA